TTCCGCCAGTCAGCGCTGGCGGATCGGAGCGGGGAATCCAGCCCCTCCCCTGTCACGGCAGAGAGCCGTGACAGGATCGAGAGGTGAGCGAACGCCGGTATGTGTTCGCTCACTTCTCGATCTACTGAGCTGACCTGTGACAGTCCCATTGTCACAGGTCGGCTAGAACTATGAGGTGAGTGAAAAGCACTCACCTCATAGTTCTCCTTTAAGATCTACAAGTTGCAGTGGCTGATAGCTTCTTCATTCATAAATCCAGTCAAGGATGTGATGGCTGCGTGTGTAGAACCACAAATTCAAAAATCCACAAAAGCCTTCAGGGAGAAGAACCCCACAATTCAGGTAAGTGGGGGGTGCTGTGATGTGACCATGTTTCATGTTACACCCTGAATATGAGTCAGAAAAGTAAACTTAGCCTTTGATTTGCACAGAACATTCTGTTATATCTAAGTCAACATCTTCAGTGCCAGGAGCCATTATTTATGATTTCTTTCACTGCACAACACACATGCAGTCTCTAGAAAAACAGATCATAAACTTCTAGAACATGTTCAGCTAAACCTTGCTGGTGCTCACATCCCATATAAACCAGACAGACAATTGTGCACAGCACAATACACCATTTGCGAGATCACTGATGCCTTCTCAGTTCTTTAAAGTCAGACTGTCTTTACCCTCAGAAGATCATTGGTCCACTTGGAGTGGTTTTCAACACTCCTATGTTTACTGCTATGCAGTATCAGTGTTAATAAAGGAAGTGACTGTCATTGTCAACATAATGGCATGCCTGTGAATGGTCCTCAATGCCAAAGTAAGAAATAAATCTCAGTTTCACTCATTAAGCTTAGCCAAAATGTGTTTAAAAACAAACAAACAATCAACATGTTTTTTCTTCTTTATTAATTGATTTCGGGTAGTCTAGTTTATTTAAGTTCATATTCTTTGTTCTTACATTTATTTTTCCTTTGTTGTGTGTGTATGATCTTTATTTGTGTACTATCGCTTCACATATTTTGCTTTTACCGTCTGTTTTTTTTAAATGAACAATACGTGAAATATTGAGGCTAATGAGGGATTATTTTTTGTGCAAGAACAGATTGAGGAGAATTTAAAGAAGCGTCCTTAACCCTTAGGACCCATTAAGTGCCTGTTAACCATTAAACTCAAATGCACTTTGCAGAGCAAAAGATTCTTGATCGGCTCACTGTTGAGATAAAGACAGATTGAAGTATGTAGCTCTATGTAAAATATTTGTAATCATTTTTAATGAATACATAACTGGTTAAATAGTATTCTGTTTGCCTTAAGTACATCTTTATGTCTGATTCCACTAAAATAGTAAAAGAGATGACATACATACATACATTTGTTTAATAATACAGTAACTCACATGGTAACTGATAGAGTAAAACTGCTAAAGGCAGTGTGTTGATTGATTGCTATTGGGTTACTTCACACCATTGTTCTTTGTTACATATTATGAGTGATCCCAGGTACAGACACCGTACCAGTTTCAGGAATAATGAAAACGAAAAGCACGGTGCCTATTTAGATACACTGAATCATTTTTATATTCAATTGTTCTGTACTGTACCCACCTTTCACGCTCCTGCTCCAGCAAGTTGGTGAAGTCGTCACTCTTGTTCATGTACTCGGTGTGTTTCCTCTTCTCGTTTTCCAGTTCATAAACAGTTCTACGGTGACACTTCTCTGCCAGAAGAAGCTGCTCTAACATGCGTCGGTAGGTTTCTCTTTGCTTTTCCTCAAGTCGGTCCAGCTGTATAAATTCAATTAAAATGCAAGTTTAAAAACATATCACATGATTACAGTTTGTTTATAATTAACATGATTTCATGAAACGTTATTGAGGGCTCATTCACACCAGCAGCGTTGGGCTGCGTTGGATTGTGTTGCCCAACACAGTCTCAACAGCGCAATTTACCTAATGGTTTCTGATTTCAGTTCCATGCCCTGGCATGTTGACGTGTGCTGAAAAACAAATGGGACATGTTGCCACATTGTGCGCAGAATGTGCCACAGCGCACAGTAAATGCTTGTAGTCAAAAAAGGGTTTAAAATGCTCTACAATTTGTGTAAAAAAAAGTTGCACCATGGCACAGTGCAGCTCAACTAAAAAAAATGTAAAAACTTGCACGAACACGTTTTGCATGAGATATGGCGTGAACAAGCCCTGATGTAAACAGATAATTGAACTAGTCATTGTTAAGGACATGAATGTGAAATCTGAAGAGATAAATAGGACCCAAATGTTCTGACAGTGCTTCCAACAGAACACAATGAGGGGAATTTATCAAAACTGGAGCAGACAAAATCTGGTGCAGCTGTGCATGGCAACCAATCAGCACCTCTCTTTCATTTTCAAATCTTAACTGAACAAACTGAAGAGAGAAGCTCATTGGTTGCCATGGGCAACTGTTCCAGATTTTGTCTGCTCCAGTTTTGATAAATTCCCCTCACTGAGAAGAGCTAAATACACAGTTGAATGACATGTAGAGTATATAATTTGTTTTACATGTCAATTGATTTATAATTGTGTTCTGCGGCAACTTTGTGATTCACACATTTCTGGTTCATTGCATAGCCAGTTGGGTGACAACCCTATTTCCTGGCAGGGCTTTTCAGCTTCTAGAGTCACCTCTCTTCCTCCAGCCTGCTTGCTCATCAGCCTTTGAACCAGCATCATTATGCTGCTAGTTCAATGACCGATGAGCAGGCACATGACAAAGAGAGCTGTAAAACTAAGCTAGGGAATAGTGAAGTTATCTTCCTTGATGATGCCGTTTGGCACAGATGTCATGCACTAAAGCAGCTGAGCCGCGGAATTCAGCTTGCAAATGTCCATTCATTTTATGAAACCTTTAGAAGAACTTTTGCATCGTCTTTTTATTACCAAATTTAGCAACAAAGGCTGGCTCATATACAGGCTTTCCTCAATAAAATGAAAAATAATACACTTGTGTAATATGGCTCTTTATGGAAAAATACATAAAAACATCAGGGTACAAACACTGTGACCCATCAACAACATGGGCCAACTAAGAGAGTTTATTTCTTATTTTTATGAAATAACTTTTTCACGTTTGCTAACCATACATCATTTTATAAAAGATTGGTTTTCTTTTTACGTCAGACTGCTTCTTTGATTAACTATATCCATATATTGAGAGATCCTATTCCCCACTAACAAGTGTAATGTACTGATGATTTTAGTAGGCTGCATAAATTACATCTTTTCATGCAGTTAAATGTAACTAGTCTTGTGATTAATTCCATTAGGTTTTAAAGGGAATGCCACAAAGTTGTTCCCTGCAGTGTTTGGTGACATAAGGGCAACCTTTCCTTTGCTGGAAAATCTGCCGGTGAATCTCCATACTGTCCACCGGTCAGCTATTCCCCACACTGTTTTTTTAATTTAATTATTATTTGAATTAAAAATGTGTTTTATTACAAGTTTAAGTGGGTGACTAATACAAATCAAATATAGCAGCATTCCACAAGTGCAGAGGCCAAGCTGTGCAGACAGAAGAGATATCTCTGTAGCAACATTTCCAGCACAGGACATAAGGGAGTTAAGCTCAACTTATAGATTACAATTACCTCCCAACAACTTTCTGAAGTTTTCCTGATAGTCTTCTAGAATGTGAGACTTTTTCTTTTCTTTTTTGATTGTAAAATGTGTTTAGCACAGAGACATATACTGTATGTGCTGCAATTTTGGCTCCATTACTAATTTGCACTGGATATTTACAAATCAGTACTAAAGCTAAGCTAAATATTGGCACAATAAAGCAAGTAATGGCTTGGTAGTTCAGATCATGCTATTATTTATGGGGTTAACTAGGTTAAGGATGGTTAAGGCTTAAGGTATATATAGAATAAGGAGTTAGGTTAATGGCCAAGTGTGAGGGAAGGTTAAAGAATAACTGTGCAGTTATGCCTTTAACAATCCCATCTCCTAAAGTATCCTCAAGGCATTATACTTACCTGTCCTCACTCCTCTGAGATCTTCAGGAAGTTGCACAATCACTACCCAAGGGGTCTCCTGGCCAGCTTTTCCACATGTGTTGCTATGGAAAGGCCAACCACTGTTGGTACACATAATAGAGGAAGAGTCCAGCAGTGAGCCTTCTCGAGATGTGTCTGTTAGCGAGCTGCTCAGTGAAGATCTCAGAGGAGCAATGAGAGAGTGAGTATAAAGTTGGCCATATACACTGGTAGATTTTTGTCCAAACGCCCATACAAGAAATCTTGTTACAACAGTCAATATTGCCATTAGAGACTTGGCAAATAACATTCTAAGCTTTCTTTGGTTTTAACATTTGATTTTAGAATGAATGGAGTTTCTCAGATAATAATCACATTCACTATTAGAATTTAGTTTGCTCAAGAAAACTTTTCATCCTGCTTGACTTTTTTTTAAATCACGGTAGCTGAAAACGAATATCGATTTTACCCCATTATTTATTAGGCCTCATGCACACTAAGTACCAAAACGTTAAGTTCAGGTGCATTTGGAGCTCATTTCTAAACGCACCTGGACTCATGTAATGATTTTCTATGACTGAATGCACACCTAGGCACCCAGCAGAGTCTAGGCATCCTCAGTCTATGTCAGTTTACCCAATATAAAAATGTCTGCATTTCGGGTCCGACTAGCCCAGTTTTATGCAGCTAAACGTGTGTAAGCACATATAAATGCAACTAAGCCCAGCACAGAAAAAAGTGATCTGGGAAGCATAAAGTTCTTTATACTTACCAGATAACTTGTGTTGGGCTTAAAACGCAGCCTGCTAGTGTGCATGAGGCCTTAGAAAATCAAACCAGTGTCCCGAAAACCCATTTGTTCATACAAAATTCTACTGGTGTATGGCCAGCTTCAGGCCCGGTTCACGCCGGGGCGGTTCAGCCGCGCGGTCATCTGCTGACATGAACGATCCCATACATTTGCTATGGGGACCATTGCCATGGGGACCATTCGCAGGCCCGCGACTGCGCGGGCCTGCGCAATCCGAACCGCCCCCGCCCGAATTGCTCCCTGACCCTTTTTTGCCACGATGATCAGTGCGGTTTACATACAGCTTGCAATGGAACGTGCTGTTCAGCGTTTGGTTTTGGGAGTTTTTAATTGTGTTTCAGCGCTGAAACACAATTAAAAACTCCCAAAACAGCCCTTTATAAAATGAGCGCTGATCCCCAGCCGGGCCTAAGACATGCTTATAGTTAAGTTTAGGCTTGTTTGGGGGACCAAAGGGTCTCCACTTAAATGTAACAGACCATTATTTATGTTTAACAATGTAGCTTACAAAGTAACTGAAATGGTTTATGCTCAGAAGAACATATGGTAAAGAAAGCAACTGCAATGTTTTATCCACCGAAGGACTTTGGATAAAAAGAGCAACTCAATAAAGGTGTTGTCATTTTCTACAAGAATTTGATAAAGATAACAACATAAAGAACTAATAAAATGTAAATATTTTTATCATAATGCTTAAACATGGATCTCAAACTATGTATAAATTTAGTTATGTCACACGTAAAAAAATACTGTTAAACTATCTTTTGCAGTGTTAGCAGCTTTATAGAAAAAAGCATTCACTGTAACAAAACAAATAGTCTTTATATAAAAAATCCCAAAGCAGTAACAACAGTAAGCCATGTTCAAATCCCATTTCTGAACTCACTCCATGATTGAGTACACTGGCTTCTTATGTGGACAGTAGGGTGATGTGACAGGATTAGATGCATGGCTTGGTGCAATGGGGGTAGTATCAATATTCTGACACTGTAAGCTAGAGGCTGTGAAAGTGTCATACAGTACATGGAGTTTTCAAAGCAGCTTCTCGATTACTTAAAGGGAAACGAACATGTACCAAGGTTTTAAAGTCTTTTAAGGATAATTAAGGTGCATCATACTATATCCATTTGTTTATGTTCATTCATTTATTTAACATATTTAAATTTGAATAGACAGCAAACTAGCATCGTATACAGCCTATACAATGAGATATAATTATATTTTACAATGGTTTGATTTAACACAACATAACATTTGTTAAGATAAATATAAAAACACATAGATAGATCAATAGATAGACAGATAGACAGACAGACAGACAGACAGACAGACAGACAGATAGATAGATAGATAGATAGATAGATAGATAGATAGATAGATAGATAGATAGATAGACTATGTACATACAAGAGAGGTAAAGAAAATGTAGAGAGACAAACAGCTTGATAGATATATGGGTAAAGATCGAAAGAAAGAAAAGGAAGAATTGTATATGGATAGACCTGACCTTATATCTATCACCAACAAGCTGCATTAGACCTAATCAATAATACATTTATATTAGTCAGATCTAAGAGTAATAAAAACGTTACCTCTGCCATTGGTTTTTCATATACATCTTCTCCTATGGATTTCTCCTTTGCCAAGATAGCATCCCTGTGCAGTACCCTCAGTACATCCTCCGGAGCTGAAAACCCATAATGAGCTTCCAAAACTTCGGGTTTAGTTTTCTCCGTCTTTAGCATATGGATAACATCCTCCCTAGCCTGTGGGAATGTAACATGATATGATTAGAGAAGCTGCAGATTATATAACACATGCTTACATCATTCCTGATAAATTGACATTTGGTATATGAGCTAAAGCTATCGGCTGGTTCAACGGGAACCTCTCTTCTGTAATATACTTAACATTGCCAAAAACAGTCTGCTCATGTGATATTACATGACACGTTGCTAGGAGGCATCTGTGTGTACAATCCATACACAACTCACCACAGTCTTCACCTCATCAAACCTGAAACCCATCCACACATTACACACCTTACAAAAATAATCAAAATGCATTTAGGCATAGATTATTTACCATCATTAAGGCTACTTTCTTTAGTGTGTCTGTTAAACAAACTTGCTGGTCTAATAACACCATTTATCTATTTTTTAATAACTTGCCTGACCAACTTAAAATTATAAAAATGAGCAATACTCACCTTGGCTCATTGGGGTTGATTTACTAACCTTTTAAACACACCACGAACGTGTATACACCTCTGTAGTGTGTTCCCTCCCAGCATGATCTATGGGAGGAATCGAAACACCTTTGTAGTGTGTACACACCCAGCAGGTGTGTTGTGCAAAGCCCTGCAATGAATTGCAAGGTAATGTGGTGTAAATTAACACTATGTTATGTTGCTTGCGTTGATGAATGCAGGAATGTAAATGCATGAGCTAACCATTTTTGTCTAAACTGTGAAGCAGCATTATATATGCATCATGTGCATGATTTTTCCATATATGGCATTAGTGGAAATATGCTTTTAGAGACTTTTTGGTTGATAAATACGTTTTGCTGTGTGAAAATCACACACACCTGGTGCGTGCGTGTGTTTAGGTTAGTAAATCACCCCCATTGAGTTACTTGTTCAGCTGACAGCTCCTAATGTGGGATTTCTTTGCTAAGGGGATAGTGTTGTCTTGATTATATGTTTTGAAACCCAGGAGCTGAATTCATATAGTTTGTACACTTGTTACTTTGTCACGGTCTAGGGACCAGTTAGTAAATCACCCCCATTGAGTTACTTGTTCAGCTGACAGCTCCTAATGTGGGATTCTTTTGCTAAGGGGATAGTGTTGTTTTGATTATATGTTTTGAAACCCAGGAGCTGAATTCATATAGTTTGTACACTTGTTACTTTGTCACGGTCTAGGGACCAGGGCACATGAGCTCCTGTGTTTGCGGAGTTGGTAGGAGTCACAAAGAGGCGGGATATCGGGGATGTAGGTCACAGGGAGAGAGGAACGAATGATCTGTGCGTTCTGAGGACGCACTAGAGGCGCAGAATCTAAGAAGGGCCAGGTATTCGACAGAGCCTCTAGTGGTGAGGATGATTGGCTGCTGGACACCTTCCAGGTTGCGGCCCTCTAGCGCACCCACACAGACGCAAGGGACTAGTTCATGCAGCGGGGAACTGGATACAAACAGGTAGGGAAGAAACTTGTAACCAAGAGGAGGAAGACAGGAAGAGGGAGAGAGAGAAAGCCTCAAGCAAAAGTGCAAACGCACAGCAGAACAGCAGAGTATACTGAAGAGAATAGATAAGCAAGGACACTAGGGAAGGGTAAGCGGCTTAGAGGCACACCTAGGAGCAGGAAGGTGCAACGTACAAAAGTAAACGAGATGTGCGTTGCACATGCATACAAAGAAGCAGGATAACAGAGAGAAAAGTACACAAAGAAGCACAAAAGGGATGTATGCACACAGGGGGTGTGCAGACAAGGATGAATCGAACACAGCCACCAGGTTAGAGAGGAGCACAGAAATAAAGGGGTGACAGCAAAGCAAAGGAAGATACACTGGAAGGTAAGTGACGGAGTAGAAGTACAACAAGCAGTAAATAGGAGGCAGCAAACAGACAAAGACTGTAGAGGGAAAACACAGTAGAAGTAAGGCAAAGAAGGCAGTATGGAGAGGCGCACAGGTGAAGGCAATTAAGGAGCAAAAGCAGGGGATAACGCCAAAAAGGGATACTAGCTGGTACAGGGAAGCCAAAGGCGCAGGGATCCAATAGCAAGCGCAATAGCAAGCGCAGGGAATAAGATCCCAGGGTTAGTCAGAGACAGAAGGGGTACGGAACAAGGCATAAGACTTGTTGCTCGCACCAAGAGCAACAAGTGAGGAACTCCTAAATAGGGGAGAAGGAGAGCAGATTGGCTGCAGCCTTGTGAGACACCATAGGCTGACAGCCCAGAAACAGGGAGCATATCGAAAATCCGGCACGGATTTCCGGATATTGTGACAGTACCCCCCCTCTTATGGGGCCCTCCGGGCCACGGGGGTCCGGGCTCCCCCAGAGAGTAAGGAAGGTGTCTTCTTCCAAAAGGAGAAATTTGTGTGCCAGAAACTGGGCATGCAGGAGGACCAACATAGCATGGAGTTTTGAGCTGAGCATTCTTAGGGACCCACTGGTTCTTGTTTCTGAACAGAGAACTTAGGACTATTTCAGAAGGTTGGTCAGCAGGTTTCTTGTGCCTAGCAGCTGCCCAGTGTGACCAATTCTGATCTTGAGAGCAGTTCTGCTTGACTTCTTCTTGAATGTCATCCACAGCTGGAGTGTCTGGAGGACCAGACACGAGTAAGGTCTCAGGGGAAACTGACACAGTGATCTTCTCCAGGGGCAGCAACATAGGCAAAGTCTCCAGAGAGGACTGCATAAGCTCAGTAGAGGGTGCTGGCAAGGTCACAGGAGAGCATGGCACTGAAGATTGTATTGATGAGGATTGCGTTGGTGTAGTCACTGGGGAACATAACGCAGGCAAACTCTCTGGCTTGAATAGTGAAGACTTGGAAACGCATTGAACTGAGTGCGTCTCCGACACAGAGGCGACTGAGTCAGGTACCGAAGTGGCTGTCATATAGTTAACTTTAGATGAGTCAGACTTGGGGTACTGAGCTACAGAGGGAGACTTGAGCGACTGAGCCTCAGAGGCAGGCTTGGAGTACTGAGCTGCAGAGGCAGAGTTGAGGGACTGAGCCTCAGAGGCAGGCTCGGAGTACTGAGCTGCAGAGGCAGAGTTGAGGGACTGAGCCTCAGAGGCAGGCTCGGAGTACTGAGCTGCAGAGGCAGAGTTGAGGGACTGAGCCTCAGAGGCAGGCTCGGAGTACTGAGCTGCAGAGGCAGAGTTGAGGGACTGAGCCTCAGAGGCAGGCTCGGAGTACTGAGCTGCAGAGGCAGAGTTGAGGGACTGAGCCTCAGAGGCAGGCTCGGAGTACTGAGCTGCAGAGGCAGAGTTGAGGGACTGGACCTCAGAGGCAGGCTCGGAGTACTGAGCTGCAGAGGCAGAGTTGAGGGACTGAGCCTCAGAGGCAGGCTCGGAGTACTGAGCTGCAGAAGCAAACTTGGGGTGCTGAGCTTTAGGAAAAGCTTTAGGGTGCAGAATCTCAGAAAACAAGTTTATGGCAGAAGCAACTTGAACTGAGTTACCAGAAACAGACTTTAGGGTTTTAGGACTGGAAGTTTTAGGCGAGGAACATTTCCTGGGCCTTGGATACCAGGCACTGGAGAAATTGAGATGGTCATCTTCATCCTCATCCTCGGAGCAGTCGGTCCAATCTTCAGTCTCCATTTCTTCATTTGTTTCATCGTCTGAACAATCAGTCCATTCATCAAGATCCTTTGCTTCTGACTGATATTTAGGTAAGGGAAACAAAGATCTTTGCTGGACTGCATTGAGAACAGGTGTAGACAAATTGCAGACAGGAGCTGTTGCAGTGGGAAACTGTAGCTGGATTTTATTCTTTGTAACCTGCTTAATGGTCTGGTATAAGGTCTTTGAATAGGGAGCGCCCTGCTTCATAGCTAGAAAAGTGTTTGAGAGATCAGAAAGGAAATGAGGGGGAATTAGCAAGTGGCCCATAACACTGGCTAGGAACTCAATAAGTTTTGCAGGTTTCTCACACATAGAGCGGTTGTAATCTAGCATTTCATTCATTGACTCATACAGATCCCCTTCCAACAGGTAATATACAACCTGACGTGACCAGGTTGCCAAGGGCGACTGCAGGATGAATGGTTCATGCAACAGCTTAAAAACCGCTTGCAGAAATGAAGAGATGTTCTGGGGATTTAAATCTTCAAATCTAGGTGGGGGAACAAAGATGTGTGGCTTAGGGGAGGTTTCCCCAGGAACAACATTTTTAGAATTATCAGAAGGACTACAAGTACCAGCAGATAAAACACTAGCAGTACATACAGGGGAAGTAAACACAGGAGATTGAGACATGATGGGTGATACCCTTGCAGGGCCTGTAGAACTATAGGAAGCATGTCTCACACAACGGAGATGCATGTTTTGTTTTTTCGGGTGCGAGCAAACTGTCACGGTCTAGGGACCAGGGCACATGAGCTCCTGTGTTTGCGGAGTTGGTAGGAGTCACAAAGAGGCGGGATATCGGGGATGTAGGTCACAGGGAGAGAGGAACGAATGATCTGTGCGTTCTGAGGACGCACTAGAGGCGCAGAATCTAAGAAGGGCCAGGTATTCGACAGAGCCTCTAGTGGTGAGGATGATTGGCTGCTGGACACCTTCCAGGTTGCGGCCCTCTAGCGCACCCACACAGACGCAAGGGACTAGTTCATGCAGCGGGGAACTGGATACAAACAGGTAGGGAAGAAACTTGTAACCAAGAGGAGGAAGACAGGAAGAGGGAGAGAGAGAGAAAGTCTCAAGCAAAAGTGCAAACGCACAGCAGAACAGCAGAGTATACTGAAGAGAATAGATAAGCAAGGACACTAGGGAAGGGTAAGCGGCTTAGAGGCACACCTAGGAGCAGGAAGGTGCAACGTACAAAAGTAAACGAGATGTGCGTTGCACATGCATACAAAGAAGCAGTATAACAGAGAGAAAAGTACACAAAGAAGCACAAAAGGGATGTATGCACACAGGGGGTGTGCAGACAAGGATGAATCTAACACAGCCACCAGGTTAGAGAGGAGCACAGAAATAAAGGGGTGACAGCAAAGCAAAGGAAGATACACTGGAAGGTAAGT